GCTAAGTGAATAGAACGAAACAATTTAACAATGAATTCGTGTGTTTTGTCCAACACCAAAGGACTATCAAAGTCAATGGAGCGCTTTCAAGAAAATAGGCAGTAAGAGCTTTTGTGAATCAGTCGAGTGCTACAAAAAAAATTGGAACCATTCGTGCGCCTTATGAAAATCACCGCATCAGCCCTGTGTTACAAAGGGACATCGTACAGAGTAGTATACGCACAAATTGGCCGACACTGCTGCATAAACATCCTAAGTAGGAGGTGCTACTTGCCTACCATCCCATGAGAGCAGTGAAGTGGCTAATATGGACCACTGAATCTGGTACTGCTATAGTTTTGCCCTAAATGGTGAAGTCTTCTTGACGACATAAAAAAAGAGGGTTTTCCCACGATTACACTGAACAGATCGTGTTTCCGGAAGCTCCACGGATGGTTCGTCAGGAAGTGCCGGGCATTCATTTAACTTTCCAGGTAGTACAACTGATGAAACATGTTACGTGGAAAAAGACGCATAGACAGGGCAATTTTCGGGCAAAACTTTTAGGCATTCCCTGCTTGAAAAAACATCATTATCATCACCGTCACCACCAACGGTACCACTACCGGTGGTGGTGACGGTGATGAATGTGCATACAATTTGCAAACTATACATGGTTAGGGAGTTTGTCGAAAATACTTCACTGAGATTCAGCAGAATGTATGTGTATATGTTCGTATGAACGACTGAAATATACGTGAATTCCTTAGTTGTATTCTCACGTTTTGTGATCAAGTGTGTAATGTTCCATGAAATGCAGTTCATAATTTCAGTTTACGTAGATGTATTGTCGAATATCATTTTTGTTTACTGTCTTCTTCTATATCAACCTTTCTATGTGCGTGCGTACCTACTCTTGGTACATAATTCGTCTGACAGCGTTAAAATCTGAGACCACCTCCTTTACATAAGTGCTGCTTAATGAACTTAACATCAAGCCCACTTTGTCGGCCATGGAAAGCATCTTAAGAGCACTGCGCAAGCAAGCAAGGTCTCATAACTTCTATTTCGCGCAGGACGGTGCGTGTATGCCGGACGGGAGATCTTCCATGGACGCGTGAGAAGGCGATCACCTTGCCAGCAGATCTCTTGCGACATCCGGAAGCGAGAAGTGACCATTGAAGGGTAGGCGCTTATTCTTGACCTAGTTTGCGTTCGCAGACACCGCATCGTTTTGCTGCACAAGTCGTGAATGCAAGCATCGTTCCAGTCAGAATCGATAGGGCAAAACTAACGAACGTTTTCTTTTCTGAATAACTTTTTCCAGGTTTTTTTTAAAGATCTGTTTTAAATATTAGTTTGCTTGTACCTGCTGAGTGTTTTTCTTTTATTTCTTCATGCGTGATAAGAATACATAACAGTCGAATATATCAAAATAAACTTGAGCATGGCTTCATTTTTTTGATCATAAAAAGATTTCAGTGTTCTACTTCCGCACTCTTGAAAGTTTTTAAAAAAATTAAGGGAGGCGTTCGCACTTTGTTTCTGTAGCTCACATTGCATCATATTTATTTACCCTACTAAAAAAAGTTTAAGGAGAAAAAACAAAGAATAATTTGAAAGAAAGTGTAGGGAATGTTAATGATAGTAACATTAATTTAAATGTCAAGAAATAAAAGTGAACGAAGAGATATCTTCGGAAAAAAGACTGCTACACACTCGCTCTTATGGCTACCAGCAGCGCTGACTAACACTCCCAGGTATAAATGCACATGTATGCCCCATAAACTGTACGGGTCGGATAAGTTGGCAGAGCATCAGACGTGTTATTCGAAGCTCCCAGGTTTGGTCCCTGTCAACGGCAAGTTATCGTTTCGTCCAATTTACTTTCACTACTTTTACACCATAGTTCCAACTCAACTTCACTTTTATCTGTCGCCGAATAGAACTGTTTAACTCGAACCGTTGTCTCGTCTACAAATCATTCCACTTTCAAGCGGCCTTATCACCTTTCTTTGAGCGTAACGCGCAGTAAGCTATAGATACAATTGTATATCTACTTTTAATGACGTTTTTGTCTTCTCAGTACTGTATACACCATCTTTGCATTGTAATTATGTTTCGACTTATACGTACCTTTCTTTCTCACTCGTTTGCATTGGTTAAGTTGGACCTTTTCACATTATATTGATCCTGTCCTTTTTGTCTTTTCAAACAATATTTGGGGTTTTTCTACAGATGTAAACTGCGCGTCACCATTGTGTAAGGAACGTGAACCATCTTTGCGTCATTGCCAGACTACAAAATATTTTAGAAAATTTCAATAGCTAGATAATATAATAACAATTTTAATAATAATATCTATGGCTGAACTTCCTAAAACCACGATATGATCGGGAGATACCCCATAGTGGAAAGCCCCGGAAATTTGGACTACCTGGGGTTCTTTACTGTGTACCTAAATCTAATCATGCGGGCCTCAAACATTTTTTGCCTTGATCGAAAATGCAGCGGCCGCAGCCGGCATTCCATCCAGCAACATTCGGTTTATTAGATAGTGTAATAATTGCTTCTTACCTGTGCCTACGGAAGGGGTGGTATTTTTTTTGAACAGCCAAATTAAAAAACGAAACAAGACTAAATGTCGTGGTAGCGTCAAGCGCGCTTAAGTATCTTCAACTTGTAAAGCACCTAGAATAAAAATTTGGCCATTAGTGATTGTGAAGAGAACTCTAAAAAGCAGTTCCTGGTTGATCAATAATGAACCACATGCTACTTCTGTTTCAAAGTGAGCCACATTCATTACATCAACACGGCGTTAATAGTCGTGACCAACGCAACCATAGTGGTTTCATCTAATCCGTTTCCTTTAAGTACTAAATGCTTTGCTATCATGTTTACGTTCCACAACAGGTTTTTCTAGCACAAGTCGACACTTACTGAAAGACATGATGTTGTAGTGCGAAACTCGAATTTAAAAAGATGCTTCTTAGTGTTTACTTTCTAGTTTGCCGCTACATTGTCATGTTCTTCTTTTGCTCCAAAACGGTTTATTTTAAATAAAAGGTGTACGAAATGAAGATACCATTTTTTGAAGAAGACGGTGACGTGATCTGAAACAGCACGGCATGAAACGAGCTCAGAAGCAAAGGGGCTGGACCTCTTTTCGAGGCTTTCAACAGATGCGAAAAAAAAAAAACGCAGACGCTGCTGGCAGTCCAGAATAGTGCGTCTTTTGCCAGAAAAAACCACTCGCCCTTCAAGTCCAGTGATCACCATTACGTCCATGTGACTAAGCACGGCACCGATGGAAGCACAAGAATGATGTTATTTTTATTGTAATATATTGTTCTAACGTACACTCTAATCATTTTAGACCAATTTTACGAGGTAATTAAAGATCAAACAAAATGTTTCAATCTATACTAGCCGAATACAAACTGTACTCCCGAATATCTACTGACGATATTGGGTTATGTAGATTTCAGGCACAATATATATCAGATGTATTTAGGGGAGAAAAACATTCTGGCAAGAAATTGTTTTAGCAGGCCCAAACATATTGCCAGGAGCTAAAAAGTGCGTTTTTCTCAGTTTTAGTTAAAGTGTAATTGGCTTAAAAAACGCCATATATGACGCGTCTACTTACGCTTGTACTTTTAGTATCACCCCTATGCAATGGCCAAGTGAGTCAATGGGGTACTACTATAAATAAATAAAAATTGAAAAAAATAGTAAGCAGTCATGTTTATTAGGCCCAAGGTGCACTGCAAGTCACCGAAAATTCCAGATTGGGGAGTCTAACACGAATTTTAATGCATGACCTTTCTTATCATGCACGCCAAGATTAGTACACGATGAATTTTCCACGCCATACCAATAAGAGTGGCGACTGCTGCATTTAAGAATTGAAATCGAACCCCCAATCTCGCGTTCAGTATGCAGAACGCTACATCCACTGAGCCACCCTGTATCGCAGTTAATAATTAAATTAGCACTAAGACAGCGATGTGCTACTGATAAAACAAGACAATGCCCGTAAATTATTACTGTGAAAGTGCAACTTGTCCGCCACGAAATCTGCATGTGACTGTTGCAAAAAAAGCCTTTTCTTGTCTGTTTATAGCGAACCAAAACAAAAAAGCGGACATTTAAAATGTGCTCATTGGTATGTTCTTCTGAACAAAACTACATTAACTTCAATTTCTTGTCTTTTTTAGGTGTGGTCCATTGCCTGAACTTCGGCCCGGATGCGAGCTAAAGCAAGGAAGATCTTATTATCCGGACTGCTGCCCGAAAGTGATATGCCGATGACATGCTCCACTCGCACCGTGTACTCGATCAAATCTGCAGTCTGATGCTCTGTCTTCCGCCTTGTTGCGTACAATCGCTTTGGCAGCGTTCTCCCGAATAGTCCAGTTTCAACGGAAAATATTTTCTCAGCAGAAAGTGCCTGTAAACCCCGCTAGAAGAGCTTGTGGCTTCAAAGACAAATAAATCTAACGGCTCGTACCTCACGCTTATTGTGTTCAAAAAAAAAAAAAAGAAAACTGAGGAAACTCAGTAAACCATTCTGTCCTAGCCAATCATTTTAAAGATAAAAAGAAAAGGGGTGTGACTCACTTCGCTTCGTGTACGCTCGTATATAGACCGGAATAAGGCACACGCAAGCTGCAAGGCAATGCGCATTGGTATTCCTACCGCACCGTCTCTTGCCCTCAAGCATCCGAGTCGAGTTTGCGCCATGCGTGCATTCAAGCATCCGCGCGTTTTCCCTTTCTACCGCATCCGCCTCCTTTCCATTGCCGACGCAATGGAGAAAGTGCACCCTAAGCGGAGCGTCGAAAACAGTACCATCCGGAAAAAAATGTTAATTGGCCGGCTACTGCGGCGCATACGCGCTAACGACGATGGCATGACACGTCCGGTGCGACGCACCAGATGCATGGCAATGAGCCGACAGTCGCGCGATGAGCTGTCGCATTCTATACGATACAAATAATGTAGGCGCGCGTCGCGGCCGCTGGAACGGAGCCACCCGGAGCGCGTCTTCAGCTGGATGACACAGGCGGCCTTGAGGAGAGCGGAAGGCAGCCCCTTGACGCCACTTCTAGAGGAGCCGTGGTGATAAGGCCGCGCCCTCGCTCCACTCGGGGACGCTCCACTCGGCCACCTTCGGCGCGGAGTTGTGATCCGCCACGGCTGCCTGCACAGTGAGTGTCCGCGCTCGCGCGATGCCAAAGACGGTGCCAGCCCTCGCCCTGGCCGCGATGTTGGCCGTGGGCCACTGCTGGACAGTGGGCACCGGCTATCGCGCCGATATGGGGATGCAGCTAGTCAACGGTAAGAAATCGGCCGCGCACGCCGGCCAGCGTGCGCGGCCGAAACTTTTTCAATACGCGCGACACACCACGCTGTTTCGCGGCCTTGAGTCTGAGTTGGAGAGGCGCGCCTTTCGCAGCGAAATTGTTGGCCTGGTGACCAAAGTGATAACGCGCAACGAAGCGAAGACGCCGTGATATATGCACGTGCAGCTTTTCCTTATATTTTTATTATTCTTGTCCCAGTGGTCTTTCTCTTGCACATCACGCGATTTAATGTGTATTTGCCAAAGTGCGGCATTGTGTTAACCTTTGCGCCCAAATCTTTTTTATTATAGATGCGCAAATATTTTTCAAGGCTTCATATGCTGTAAAATATGTCTTCAAGTCAATCACTTCTTCAAATTAATCAGATCAAAGTTGGCTTCACTTAAAAAAAAACGACTAGACAATATCACACAGCAATAAATATTGTATTTTTCGCTATTGAATATTTAGAAAAGCATTTCTTCACCTTTTTACTATTTCTCGATGTGATCGGTTCCTTCACTATAGGATCCATTCACCCTTCGTTAAAGCGTCTTCGTCATTCTCTCGAATAAAAAAAAAACGGAGATTATGTGATTAACGAGCTTCGAAGGTGATGATTGCCACTTGTTCGTGAAATTCAGGTGCACTATCAACCCCCATGGATGTCGTTGGACGTCAGTCTGGCTTCTTTTCGCCGGGCAGTGACAAAATATGTTTCGTGAGTCTACATGATCACAAAATTAATTTTTCTTAGTACAGCTGATTTTTGTACAACGACGGTGAAGAACAGCTACCGATAGAACTTCTTTAGATTTTTTTAGTTATTAGCAAGAAGTACTGCGGCAGAAATTATTATTGATGACTGTATATATAACATGTATTACATCCGTCCATTCATGCATTCGCTTGTTTAGATGGAAAAAAATCCTTGGATCACGGTGGTGTTACTGGAGCGAAGGTTTCGAGAAGTGAACTTATCTGTAGTTAACAACAAAGTAAGTCACAAAACGTCGAAATTGGAGAACGTAGAGCGGCAGAAACAGAGATCAGCCTCGTCTCTGCTCTCTGTTTCCGCCACTCTGCCTTTTTTCGATTTTGACGTTTTGTGGCTTCTTTTGTTGTCAACTAAGTATGTGCGTACCAACTTGCCCAATAAGCAGCTCTCCTTTACTCATCTTTGTCAAGGCAGTAGTGTCGCCACCTTGAAGAAGACAAGTCCACTTGTGGAAAAGCTGGTGCCAATGACATTCCGTGTTCCAATAATTTCTCCGTCTCTTCCTGCTTCCCCCTTCCCCGTGGACATCTGACTTTTGTGAAAGGCCATTTGTTTATTTCCATATGTTGCCAAAAAGAGCTCAAACTTAAGAACGCTGTCCTTCAATGTATTTCTTTTTGAATATTACAGAGAAAGGTTCTAGGAACAAAAACAACGCAGGAAAAGTGCATCGCGTGTATTCCGCACTGTTCCTGCTTTCGAAAATATTGGAACTGTTGTAGTATTTGTAGCACGAACTAAAAGCAGTTCACGCTGGCGCGCTCGCTTTCATTGCAATTGAAAAAGCTCGAATTAAAAAACGGGGTTGTTTGACCAGTTTTTAAAGAATTGAAAATACTCTGTGATGCATTTTTTTTCTATGAAGCTATTCTTTAGTTAATCGACGTAGCGCGTTTCAAAACATAAGACAGGGGAAGGGACAGAAGGGACATCCCTTCTGTCCCTTCCCCTGTCCTATGTTTTAAAACGCGCTACGTCGATTAAGTATGTCTTACCAACATGCCCAACTTTATACTCTATTCTTTAGTATTATGTCATAGAAAATGCTCTTCAAATCCATTTGTTCATTCTACTTTCTGTGTCACCATGTCACTTTCACAAAAAACTGAACACCTGCTCTTCTCATGTAAGATTCAATACAACACCGACAGAAAACGTTGTCCTCCCCTCCGCACCTGTGTACACATCTGCAAGCACTCAGTAGTGTTGCTTGTGAGTCATCTTCTAGGCAACCCAATGCCGTCGTAATCATCAGGCTAGGTTTACTTTCGTCTCTAACGACGCACCCTTGAGTCATTACGTAACCATACAATGATGCAGGTATCAACGGATGTCAAGTTTGCTCAGTGATGCAGATAACTGCGGCTGCAGTGCGGCGTTCCGATTTCAGTGTTTCCGAGCTTGAATAAAGTCTATAAATATTTGTTTAGCTGCAGTTTACGGCTTGCCCACAAAAGGGCCACTGAATGTTTTTGGTGGCACGCAGCCAGTACTTTCTTTTCGGAACCTGGAAGGTAGAAGTTTTAATGCCTTGAATTTTGTTAAGCTTCCTGTGAAACTGCATTTTTGAGCAGCAATGTAGTGCCGTCGGTGCCATTCATGTATGCACAGGTTATAACGGATGCAATACCAACGATGGTGCTTTATTCACGAACCTTTTTTTTTCGGGGGCTCCTGCATTGCGAACGCTGCAATGGTAATAGAATCGTTGATATAACTTTGTTCAAAGTTACACTTTGTATTGAAGCAGTTTAGGAGTCCTGCAAATGTATGTATGCACTTTTTTTTTGGTAAGTGGCATTTCTTTCTTTTCAATATTGCCCGAAACTGGGCGGTACTCTTTCAATGTGGGCCGAGCACGTTTTGAGAACGCCGCAGCAAGGTGAAATGCCATGTTGTGCAAACATCGTGTGGCCCTATTTTCCGCTCCTTATACAGAAGCACTTACCCTCATCTGGCTCTTACGCCACGTCGAATAGGCGGCACTCAGGTTTACCTCCTGCTTCTCATTGATTCCGTCTTCCCACGCCGGCAACGCGAACAGGTTCCTGCCTTTTCGAGAACATCACCATTCCAGCCGGCGAGAGCCTACGCCAGGAGTCTCCCTGCCGGAGGGTCACCTGTATCGAGCATCACAAAGCAGTCTTCATTCAAGAGTAAGCACGCGTGGAGAGAGTGAGTTGGAGCCCACAAGGCTCCAGCTGCTCCTTCCCGCTCACCCTCTAATAAAATTGAGATATTCAAATGCTACGTGGAAAATAAAATTAGTCAGTCTGCAGCCACAACGCAGCTCACCGACAACGTCCACTTCTTCACTCTCAGTCTGAGGCACCTTACTTGGGTATGTCCCACTAGGCCCTGTTTCAGTCAGCCGAAATCACGTAACAATATCAATAGTTTTACCCACAATGATTGTTAAGAAATTTATTTTTTAGGCTGCGTAAAATATGTTCGCTGTCAAAAATATTCCAAAGTGAAAGGAGGCCGAAGACGTGTGTTGTTGTAGTCGATTACAAAACAAGAATAAATACAACTTCCACAAACAGCCATCACTATCCCACCCAGAGGCAATGCGCATGCACGTTCCATGCAATCATGTTTCCGTATTACCGCTACGTCAAGCACATGTCGCCTGCTTCAGATAGTGGGCGTCTCTCTATACAGACGCATGTTTGTGTCTCTAGTTTTGATTAAAAAACTTGAACGTCCTGTCAATTCGGTCAGCGATTCTCATTGTAGCATTGTCAGCCTAAGAGAGGAGTTCTCGGCACCACTCACGATGACAACGCCGATTGCGCGTCATTTCACAGAAGAGGGTGTGATTTGTAGGCCGAATTGTAGTGACCTCCGTAACGGCTCTCACATGACTATGTTAATCCTGGTAACTAATGACGGCAAAATGCATCTGTGTTCTTAAAGCAAAACATTGGCTATGACGTCTGGATTCACATTCCCAAAAATATGTTAGGCTAAATGAGAAGCCAGTGTTGACATTCTGCATATCATTGGCAAAGTTAGCTGCAAAAAACACTCGCAAACTGAAAACTTATAAAATTCGGTCCCAGAGAAAGTCACGCTGCAGTCGCGTAGCGGGCGCATTTCCCTCTTAATATTCATTGCATGCCCCCACATAAACTGTGGTGGGCTGCAAGGAGCTTTTCTTCTCCTTTACCAACTAAATACTACGACGCGCATTCAAACGTCTGATAAGTACAGAGGTCCAAAAAGATTTTTTTTTTTCCTGGAGGACAAGGGCAACCCCAATCAAGGAGCAAACACTTCAGCCAGAGCACACATCCACCTTTGTTCAGGGGTGCATATTTCTGCTGCGTCAACTTTGTCAAGATAGCACCTTCACAAAGCTTTGATCTGGCTGGATCAATGGAAAACAGTATTCACTTGATTATAAACGCATTGAGTTTTTGAGAGTGTATAGGTATATGAAAACTAGTGACATATCTTTATTGATGGTTCGCATTTGCAATAATTGTGATAAAAATATTGCAATATTGCAATATTTTTTATCTGTTCACTGCCAACAGTAGATATTTTATGCATGGCCACGGCGACCTACTTCCGCCATTGTAATCCAAAAGTCCACGGCTAGTATTTAAACGATACTTGGAATGCAGTGCATTTATATCGGTTGTAAGGAAATGAGATGGCGCCCTGCCGAATGCAACAGCGATACTGGCATGCCTCTATAATTCCATGTTACCGCTACTAGCCATCAAACTTAGGATTATGATACCGTTGACACTCTTTAAGCACTCGTAATCTTCGATCTTCGACAGGCAATAGAGTTTAGGTATCTTGTCACCTCTGCATACACTATCCAGTTTCGCCCCGCCACTTTACGCCCATCATATGACCGTTTCTTTTTTTATATATTATTTATTTATTTATTTATTTATTTATTGTTTGCTTGTTTCTTTTTTTCTTTGTTTGTTACAAGTTCCGCTAGGGGCATATAAACATTGCACAGAATACTGAAGGTTTTGAAATGTACAAATACATTAGTCTTATATAGAATATTAGCTAAAGGTAATGCTTCGTTGAGCCCATTGGTTCATTATGGAATAGATTTGAGCTCAAAAGAACGCGACACACACGCAGTGTAATCCTCTTCTCGTGTCTCGTCCTTTTTGGCTAAATATTTCATTAACTGGTGCTGATCTTGAACGGTTACGATTGGCGCAGGAAAGTGGTTCTCTCTAGTAGCACGTGGTATGGAGGACTGCAAAAAAAAGGGGGGAGGGGGGTGATTTCGACCTTTGCATTGTGGAATGCCAACCCTGTAAGTGCGGTCCAGTCGTTCGGAAGTGTAATAGGAGTTGTCAAAAATATTTCTGGAAAATGCCTGAGCGATATGCAATCTTAACGACGTACGAGAGAAACGCTTACGAGTAGAATAAACATCATGGTAGTTACGATTACTACACTGTGGCAGTAAGTAGTCTGATTACAACGTTAGTTATTCAATTTAACCATTTAAAGGGAGTCGATTATTTCTAGTGGGTTCACAATAACGCTGCATATTGAAGTTTGAAGCAATCAATATAGGAATGCCTTGAGCGGGAAGCTGATGGTATGTAGGCTTTCGTTTTTACCATTGCCCGTTGCTTGCTGGCGATAAGAAGTTGCCTTAGGGATATGAGAATGTTTGTAGACGTCCAATCAGCATCATGCTTTTTCCTTTTGCATTACCATATAAGTCACCGCATATAAGCAAAATGCGTAAATAATTCTAGAAATCATGCAACTCACAAAAACGGGGGACAAAACAAGACAGTACGAGTCACACCCCACGTGTTTTCTTCTTTTGTGCCCATCTGTGCGTGTTCCAACGTGTCTAGGATGCAATACCATATGGCCATGCTCGTATAAACAACTGTTTTGTTTGCCTATCATGCACAGAGGCTTCTTGTTATAAACAGATTTTTTTATTTATTCGTTTTATTTGTTTATTGTTTTTACCGTCACTCAAAAAGAACTATAACTTTGTACTTACAACTCGCTTTTTCACAAATCAGTTGTATATCTCCTGCAGTTGGGTCCGAAATTACTTGCTGTGCATGACGCCTCACGCCTCAAACATTTCGGTGTTTATTGACTGCGAAGCTGTTCTATAGTCGAGCTTTTCATGTGCGGAAACCTTCAGTGATCGGCGATCGTTCTGGGATTTACTCAGAGCAAGTACGTGAATGCCACCGCGAATGCCTTCGCGAGGAGTGGCGAAGGCCACTCCTCGACTGCTCGCACTGCTCCCGCCAGTTGTTTCCCACTTTATCTCATTTCATTCAACCCCACCGCATCGGCAGTGTCCGTCAAGCGAAGCTGGCTGACTTTTTATTATTATTATTATCATTATTATTAATATTATTATTATTATTATTATTATTGTTGAAGTCATATCTCGGCGTTTGCGTAAATGATGTCTTTCCTAGCATAAAAAACATATTAACAATAAGTTGAATAAGCATGCATAGCGAGGGCGCTTGACGGTGTCTGCCGGCCAATCACATTGTTTCACATGAATAGACAAGCGCTACTAGGCGAGAAAGCAAGCCAGGCTGTAATAAAGGCCCATGGCTTCAAGTACTGCGGGAGAAACCTGTGGTTTCCTGCTTGATGTATAGCGTGCGTGCTACACTAAAGCCGTTGATCTGCGTACCACTGAAGTGAACCAGTTCGGCAGACAGGAACGCCTCAGTATAGGATAGGTGTTCTTTTGACACGCGTCATTTGTTATTAACATAGGTATGCATCCTGGTAAAGTGGGTCGGTATACGGTTGCTTTGACGGGAGAACGAGACTGTGGGTCTCGTGGCTGCTCAACTCTATCGCGTTCCGCATTTCGAATCATAGGAGAAGAGATATAACGCGCGCATTGCCGCAAACATTTAGAGTTTGCGTGTAATAAAAGGCGAAGTTAAGTTACAAAAAAATATCTGCTGTCGGAGTAAATGGTGAAAAATCAGGAAGGCTGGTAGTGACAGAACGGGTGTATAAAAGCTTTAGCGCAACTGGCAGGCATAGAAATAAACGCGTGCAGTAAACTTGTAAATTGTGCTGTTTGCTATCAGCTAAGGAAATAATGAACTTGCAGCTCAATTCATTCTGTTCGTGGCGAGTTAATTGACACGCTCTGAATGGAGCAAACAACATGTTACGCTTTCTATCACTAACTGTTATCAGATTTCACACTGTTTATAGTGACTCAAAATTTGATTGAACAGAGCTTGTTCTTCTATATGTATACTATTATTATGTCAAGATTATTACCACAAAGGTTTACTCTAACTTTGCGTCCGAAGTTCCTGAATAAAATCACTGCTGAGCATTCAATCATACCAATGAGCATTCATTCATTTGAAACCTTAAAAAGCGAGCGAATCAAGAGGTGTTTGCCACCTTTAAACATGAAAAACTGCCATATGACCTTGTTCCATATACTTTTATGCAGCATTTAGAATAATAAGGCAACGCTGCGGTTTCATTTTTCTTTTTTTCTTTTTGTTTGGTGTTGGACTGCACAATAGTTGCAAGGGAAATATAACTGCCCACTTTTGTACTAAAAAAAAAGCCTTTTCTCGTGTGATCTAACGCAAGCTCACATGCTTGCGTCACTATACCGCAAGTTGTTTTATGCCCCAATTGGTCGAAATTCATGGCCCAAGTGCCATTTTGAAATGCATTTTCATTGAATCGCTGCACTACCAGGCACAAAGCTTTCGTTTCGAAACCCTTTTCTTGAAGAGATGGCGTATACCAGTGCATTCCACTGCATGGTCCTCGAGTGCGCTCTCCAAGCGTAAAGCATGTGTTGTAACCGAATCTCGTGCTTCTCTTTTGCGGCAGACTGTGGGGCTGGCTCGTCTTTCGTCTGCACGGTTTCTGTCTCTACAAGGTCATCTACAGAAAGGTCATCTGCAGCCATTAACGCTGTCTCGGTAAAACATGCCAAATAAGGCTCGGCGTGAAATCCAGGACGTTTCTATTTTCTCTTCTAGCGACCGCACAGCAAGAGTGCTTGAAATATGCAGCGCTCGATGACTGTCCCCCGCTTTCCCCATCAACGTATCACACCACTGATCACTCGACTTGCTGCGAAAGTTGAATGAAAAACAAGAAGAGAGGCAGAAAAGAGCACTGC